GCAGAAGCTGCGGGAGCGGCGGCCGGGCCGGGCGCGGAGCGGAGCGCGCCGAGCCCGCAGCATGCGCGCCCTGGGCGCCTGCACCGCCTCGCTCGGCTCCCTGGGGCTCATGCGCTTCTTCGGCCTGCCCTGGGCCTGGAGCCTCGCGGCCGCGCTCGGCATCGGCCTCGGCGGCGGCGGCTGGCGGCTCCTGCGCGTCGTCTTCAAGACCGCCCTGCGGGACCTGTTGTGAGTAGCGCCCCTTCCCGCGGCGCCCCCCGGCCCGTGCCCCTCTCCCGGGGGCCCCGTGGGCCTCGCGCCGCGGCCGGCGCTTCCCGCAGCCCTTTCCAGGAGGCTCCTTTTTCTTGCGGGCGCTTTGGGCGCTGCCAGGGACCTTTCAAGAGCCGCTTCCTCCTGCCCGCCTGGCAGCAATGGGAGCGGGGCGGCCGGGCGCGCACAAGGCGCCTCTGTTCTGTGTTGGCAGCGCTGCCAGCGGCCCCTGCCCGCCCGCCCGCGCTCCCCTTGCCGGGCTCCTGCCCTTGGCGCGCGAGGCTCCCGCGCTGCCATTGAACCGCCTTCCCGGGGGCCCTTCCAAGATCCTGTCCGCAGCGATTCCCTGTTTGGAGCTGGAGGAACTGTCTCCAGCTTCCTGTGCCTGGGAATACCCATTACAGGCACCCAAACCTTTATCCGTGCATCCACTTATGCCATCCACTTGTGCATTCGCTTGTGCATTCGCTTGTGCATCCACTTGTGCCATTGGCTTGTGCATCCGCTTGTGCATTTGCTTGTGCCATCCACTAGTGCATCCACTAGTACATCCACTTGTGCATCCACTAATGCATCCACTTTCGCATTCATATATAATTGCAAATAAATGCACCTTGCATAAATGCAAATCTACAGTTGCAGTATGACAGGCGTAGTTTCTAGAAGGTGGCCCAGAGCAGTGACCGGCTCGCTGGCCCTCCAAGGGGAACAGGGTGCGTTGGGTTTGGGCGCGAGCAGCCCCAGAGCCTCACGCTTGTGCCTGGACTTCTGCTTCTCCCCCTGCTGCAGCGGCCTCTCGGTGCTGCTCCGAGTCAAGTACAAGCTGCGGAGGCATCAGAGAGCCCAAAGCACCGTTCCCAAGATGTTCCAGGACGTCGTCCGCAGGCACCCGGACAAGGCGGCGCTCATTTACGAGGCCACGGGGGAGAAATGGACGTTCCGGGCGCTGGACGAGTACTCCAACGCCGTGGCCAACTACTTCTGCGAGCAAGGCTTTCGCCGCGGCGACGTCGTGGCCGTCTTCATGGAGAGCCGGCCCGAGTTCGTGGGGCTCTGGCTGGGCATGGCCAAGGTCGGCATCGAGGCTGCGCTCATTAACTTCAACCTGCGCCTGGATTCCCTGGTTTACTGCGTGGCCACCTCGGGCGCCAAGGCTGTGATCTTCGGAGGAGAGCTGGCCCCAGGTGGGTCCTTCTGTGCCCCGCGGGCTCCCGTGGGCAAGCGGTGATCCTGGGGATCCCAGCTCCCGCTCCGTGCGGAGATGTGTGCCGAAAACGGAAAGATACGGCCACGTCTGCCCCTGTTAGCTGAGAACTGTGTGAACGTGGTAAATCTGCTGAGGACTTGAAATGCAGAAGTGTGCAGTTGATATTTTGGGCTGAAGGACTGACATCTTGGACTAAAGGACTGATATTTTGGACTAAAGGACTGATATTTTGGACTAAAGGACTGATATTTTGGGCTGAAGGGCTGGTATTTTGGACTAAAGGCCTGATATTTTGGGCTGAAGCACTGACATCTCGGACTAAAGGGCTGATATTTTGGACTGAAGGAGGAGCAGCGCTGTGAGCAGAGCTGCGAGGAGCTTGGTTTCATTTGCTGGCGTCTTTCTGCTGCCAGCACAAGCTGAACTCATTAGTTTGCTCTACTTTTCTTGCTCCATCTGGAGCTTTGTGCTATAGCGTAGAAACGGTGCAATGGGGCACTGCAATGGGGCACTGCACAGTGCAATGGGGCACTGCACCTGCTTGTGGCTCTCTCTTCTTGGTTGATGATCTTTGCTTAACGTCACCCTTGAGCTGCTGTATAACAGGTTTAGCAATTGGGCACTGCTTTTGAGTCCTTCTCTGCTTTTCTAATCAACTTGTCTTCCGGTGATTATTCTTAGATCTGATCATGTAATATTTCAAATCATCTGCTARATCATTGGGAGACCGGGGCATGGTGGGTCACGTGCCAAAGTAATTTTGCTTAGTTTTGTGACAAGATCTTTGCTGCGCCAGGACAGGGACTGCAGTGCTGTTATGTGAACAGATACGACATAAATACTGTAAAATAATCTTTATTTGCTATTGATTAGAGCAGCAAAATTCTCCCTTTGTGTTGCAGCGATAGCTGAAGTGAACGGGATGCTGGGGAAGAACATGGTGAAGTTCTGCTCCGGTGACTACAACGCAGACGTTGTCCCTGCGGACACCAGGCATCTCGATCCCCTTCTGAGTGCTGCCTCCAAACTGCCCCCGAGCCAGGTTCCGCTCAAAGGCTTAGACGGTATTTTTTTGTTCAGTGCTTTTTCCCTTTTATAAAGTGACCTGAATGAGAGTTGGAATAGATGACAGTAAAACAACTACCCCAAGAAAACAAAAAAGCAAAGAGAAATTAAATTGACTCAGTCCTGTAGGAGGAAGGATGCTGTCGTGAGGCTTGTGGTGTCCCRTCCTGTGCATTTCCGAGAATCTCGGAAATCCTGCCCTATCTCAGGCACCGTTTAGGACCCGTCCTGCACTGGGATCCCCGTTAGTGCCCTGCAGCGTTAACCCAGATCCAGGAGGGCACACGGCAAGAAGAGAGAAAGTTCCTGTCCTCAGGCCTTGGCCAACCGGTCGTACAGGTTTCTGTGGGATACACAGACTCCTTGTGGCACCGTTTCAAAGCCCCAAATTCCGGCCCCGTGGGGGTTTTTCTCACCTAGAAAACAGTCTGCCTGGCACCTGACTCCTCTCTSTGCTCTCCTAGACCGACTCTTCTATATCTACACGTCGGGTACCACGGGAATGCCCAAGGCTGCCATTGTGGTGCACAGCAGGTGAGCTCCCGAYGAGGTGCTCCGCTCTGCGGCCGCTTTTCACGCAGGGAAGCCCCAACTGTCGCCTGGTTTTGCTTCCTCAGCGCGCGCTGTGTTCTTGCAGGTATTACCGGATCGCCGCCTTTGGCTACTACGCCTACAAAATGCAGCCCGATGATGTTCTCTACAACTGCCTGCCCCTCTATCACTCGGCAGGTGAGCTTGCTCCTCCGAGGCCCAGATCCGTCCCCGTACGCGTTAGGATCCGCTTGCTGCCGAGATCCTCCACGTGCCTTAACGAAAGAGTGGACCTGGAATGGCCAAAGCAAAGCTGATCCGTGTTTTCCAGGTAGTGAGGCTCAACGATCCGTGTTTTCCAGGTAGCGAAGCTCGATGATCCTTGTTTTCCAGGGAACATCATGGGAGTTGGCCAGTGCCTCATCCACGGCCTCACTGTGGTGATCAGGAAGAAGTTCTCGGCCAGTCGCTTCTGGGATGACTGCGCGAAGTACAAATGCACGGTGAGGGCGCTGGGGACCCTTCCCTTTCGGCCGCCCTGCTCTGGTGCTGTCGGTTCCTCATCTCCGCAGGCTTTCCCAGCTCTTAGCCGGTCACCCGTCCCTTTCTTTCCTCACCAGTGTGTCAGTCTCTACCTCCCGTGTCCCCGTCATTCCTTCCTCGTTGCTCCTGAGCTGCTTTCATCTGACTCTGAATGCCCTCCCTTTGCTGCCCGGACCTTCATCCTTGCTAAGGGTAGAGGTGCAGGCACCAAAATAAGCTCCAGCTGCCAGTGCCATGTTGGGAGCGCAGCATTAATAGACTTTCTAAAGTTGCTTCGTGAATTTATCACGCTTTTTAGAAGGAAAAAGGAGGTGCACGCACCCTGGCTGGAAAGCTTTCCAGTGCTAACTGCATTAGGAGTGTCTGTTGAGGAATCTTCTTTGCCTTTCCTTGCTTTGCTAATGAAAATCTGCCTGTGTTTTTGTCACCATTGTCTTCCTCCTCCTTCCTGGYGCTTCTCTTGCCTTTCTCCCCACCCTCTCCCTCCCCTGAGTATTTATAGATAGTAATTGGATCTCACCTYGGATTTAATTTTGCCAGCTCAGGCAAGCCACATTCTTGCTTGGTGTTTGCCTGCTTGTTCCCTGTGTCTTGCTGTTGACGTATGAGGGGTTTTCTGTGTATGGGCATTCTGATTCATAGCGAGGAATCCTTTCTCTGCTCCTTAAACTCATCCGACCGGTCTAGTTTCATGAGTGTCAGTGTCCCCTTAGCTGGCTTTTCCAGGGCATTATCAGGAATGCCCGAAGCCTCAGCTGTATTTCTATGTTTGCCACCTCAGGTTATCCAGTATATCGGGGAAATCTGCAGGTACCTCCTGAACCAGCCGGTGCGGGAGTCGGAGACGCAGCACTGCGTGCGCCTGGCCGTGGGCAACGGCTTGAGACCCACCATCTGGGAGGAGTTCACCAGGCGCTTCCGAATCAAGCAGATCGGCGAGTTCTACGGGGCCACCGAGTGCAACTGCAGCATCGCCAACCTGGACGGAAAGGCAGGCAAGGGGGTGGCTGTAGGGGAAGGCTAGGGAAAGCACAGTGGGGAAGAAAGCAAAGCCTTGCTTGCTTTCCTTACTGCTCTGCACGCCGCATCCTGGTCCCCTTGCGAGGAATCGCAGAAGTAGACTGGTGATTAGAGGGGCCGGGCACAAAACCATGGAGTAAATCTAGTATTTGGGGTAAATTTGCTCATTTCCTGATAAATGGAGAGGGAAGAATGACTAGAGAATTCCCAGAAAGTAGTAATACGTTAACGAAGCGATTTCCCTGAACCTTTGCTTCTCTCTGCCTTTTGGAAGGTTGGGGCCTGTGGTTTCAACAGTCGGATTTTGCCCAATGTCTATCCCATTCGTCTGGTGAAGGTCAACGAGGATACAATGGAGCCAGTCCGTGATTCCAGGGGGCTGTGCATCTCCTGTGGCCCAGGTGAGTGTGATTTAAAACATTAAACACCTTATATAAACACGTTATACAAAGCAGAATAGCAGCTTTATTCTTAAAACTAAACGGGAACTAAACGAAAAAAAAGACATCCCTGAAAAAAAGCCATTAATGAGCTGTCGTTTAACTGGTTTGCTGTGTAGTACATAGACTTTTACTTATAAATCTTTCCTTCAGAGATAGTTCCGTTCAGCCACCGACTGTCTTTGACGCACAGCAACCGCGTGCTGGTGTTTGCAGGGTTTAGCCGGTTGTGAAACCAACCATCGGCTGTTGTCATGTGGGGGTGTCTGGCCCTGTTTCCCGCAGGAGAGCCGGGGCTGCTCGTGGGCCAGATAAACCAGCAGGACCCGCTGCGTCGWTTCGACGGCTACGTCAGCGAGAGCGCCACCAGCAAGAAGATCGCCTACAATGTGTTCCAGAAAGGGGACCAGGCCTATCTCTCAGGTACCGGCCGCACTGCAGTCATCAGTTCTTCTACAGACCTTCAGCACAGCACAGAATGTGGTCTTAGGAACTGCTGGATTTTCATTTCGAAGGGTTCTAAATTTTATTTTGCACTAGAGAGGTTTTCCTGTGGAGAGACTGGTGAGAGTTGCCAGCTTTTGAGCTGCTCGGGGTTTAATGACAAACTAGATTGGAAGGTGAATACATGTAGGGAGAGGCCTTTGCTCTTTTCCTTTGCTCTTCTAGTACTCTGGAAGATGGTTTGCTTCCATTTCCTTCCCTCCTGTCCCATAAAACGGAGGGAGAAGTCACGGATCTAGCTCTGTATCCCCTGGGAAGAAGGCACTGCTGAACCCACGGTGCAGCCGAGGGCAGAACCAGCCCCTGACCGCCCTGTGCCCCTCTCTGCTTCCCAGGAGATGTGCTGGTGATGGACGAGCTGGGCTACATGTACTTCAAAGACCGCAGCGGGGACACCTTCCGATGGCGCGGGGAGAACGTCTCCACCACCGAAGTGGAAGGGATCCTGAGCCACGTCCTCAACCAGACCGACGTCGCCGTGTACGGCGTGCAAGTGCCAGGTAAAACACRGAGTTTTGCCCTCAGCGGCTAGGGAGAAGTCAAATATTAGGCAAACGTGCTCGATTTCAGTTGTACTGGGCGCCAGGCAGGTAGAAATCAGTCACCTCCACTAAAAGTGGGTGCCCTAAAGTGAGAAGATGCCGTAGAGACCAACACTGGAGACTGACGTGGCTGCTGTTCTGGGCAGCAGAGATAACCCAACCTGCTCTGCAGATCTGTGTTGCCAGAGCTGGGGTCTTTATTTGCAGGAAGGTAAGTAGTTTAGATAACATTTATTTTTCCTGTTGTGTGTTCTGAGTTTTTCATCGGCTGTATGGTGCAAGTCAGGCCTGATTCATCCTTTTATATGTGATTTGTATCTATTTGTGCCGTAATAAGGGAGAGTTTTTTGATGGACTTAGCAGAAGCTCTTGGAAAAGACCCTTCGATAGGAACAGTTAGGTTTTGGAGTCCTTAAATCTTCCAATAAAACAGAAAGAGGGATTGGGAAGAACGGGACAAGGACGAGAATGGGAGTTCTGGTCGCTTGTTCTGGATAGTGCTACTCCAGTGCTGAAGATCTGGCTCTGCTCCTGCAAGTTCTCATTTGCAAAACGTGCATTTTTATTGTATTTGTGAGAGAAACCTGCTAAAACCAAGATCTGCAATAGCTTTCAAGGGCTAGGATATTTTGTGGGTTTACCTCAGACTGTGGTGGAATGCGCTGGGAATGTATTTAATTACAGGCTGGAAGGGGCTGGAAATGTATTTAATTACAATCTGCAGCTCTCTTGAGCCTGTTGCACTTTGCTTCAGTTTGAAGAAGAAAGGGTGAAAAAGCCGGGCTTGAACCTGTTCAGTGTTTCCTGCTAAACCTTGCTCCTCCTTGGCTTGCCATGCCCACCCAAGCGGTGCCGTTGTATTTCAGGAGTGGAAGGAAAAGCTGGAATGGCCGCGATCGCAGACCCTAAAGCTAAAGTGAATCCCAACGTCTTGTACCAGGAACTGCAGAAGGTTTTGCCTCCCTATGCCCGGCCCATCTTCCTCCGTTTCCTGCCCCAGGTTGACACCACAGGTACTGGTGTTTCGCGGGGAAACGGTTCCCTTTAACAGCTCTGGGAATGTTGAGGTCGGAAAGGAATCGGGAAGCGTCAGCTTTGCAAGAGGAGGAGAAACCTGGATGAGATCCGTGGGTTTGGCCTGGAGCTGGGCGCTCTCCTGTGCGGCTCTGTGAGGGATTTCAGCACCCAGACCCCGAAAYGCAGAGCAAAACTTCTAGTTTACCAGGGACATGGCCAGCATGAATAAAAATAATGACTGTAGCGGAGTCTAGAGCAAGAAATTAGCTATTTCCAAGTCATTAACAGAGAAGACCTCTATAGGGAGGGAAAAATCCCAAAGCAGCCCTTGTCTTTGGGAATAATTCCTGCCAGGTCTGTGCCAGTGCAGCAGGTTATTTGTGAGGGTCAAGGGGGTCTCCTGCCCAACAGGGGAGTGTGTTGAAATACACAGTGGGTGTCTGTGAAGGGAACGGAAGAGGACTCTAAACACTCATTTTCTCAGCTGTAGTTTTTACCGCATTTTCTGTAGTTTTTACCGCATTTTCTGTAGTTTTTACCGCATTTTCTGTAGTTTTTACCGCATTTTCTGTAGTTTTTACCGCTTACAAGATCAACAGAACTGAATAACAACCTGTCTAGTTCGAAAATTGTTAGTAAATTGTTAAAATTGTCAGTAAATTGTTAATTCTCGGACAAAAGCACAGACTAAACATGAAATGCCAGCTAGGATGTCTTTCTCGCTGTTTAAACAGATCTTTTTGATGCTAACGGTTGTTTTTTTTTTTTTTTTTTTTGCCTTAAAGGCACATTTAAGATCCAGAAAACCCGCTTGCAGAGGGAAGGCTTCGACCCCCATCAGACCTCCGATCGGCTGCACTTTCTGGATCTCAAGCTGGGGAAATACGTCCCGCTGGACGAGTACCTTTACGAGAGGATTTGCGCCGGAAAAGTTGCCTTATGACGYGGCCCGGAGCCGGCCTTTTTACGGAGAACTGTGGTTAGGGGAAGGGCTGATGCCGGTGGGAAGCGGCGGATTCCCGCCTCATCCCAAGGGTGGGATCCTTGGGGGGGATCCCTGTCCGGGAGCAGCCCCGGGGGGATCCTCCCCACCTAGAGCACATTAACCCGTGACCTGCTCCTCCGGGAGCACTGACACCATTAACCTTAACCACCTAGAGAGGGTATTTTTGTAACCACTACACCCCCGGGCGTTGGGGCAGCCGGGGAGCAGTTCCTGTATTTATTTACGTCCCCACGCAGGGTTCCGAGTGGGAATCGCCAAGCTAAAACACCCSCGGTAGGTCCAGGCCGCCCCTCATTGTCTTAGGCTGGGCTTAGCTCCCGCTTAACAGCACCGCAAGCCGCACGCTGAGGCGTGGGGGATTACGGGCGTTAATTAGTGCAATGTGGAGGCGTTAATTAGTGCGTTAATGAGCGAGTCCGGGCCCGTGGACGGCAGGAGCCGCGTGCGGCTGGGACGGAGCCTCCGTCTCCTCCGTTCTGCCGTTTTTCCCGAGCGTTTGGCAGGGGGCCGGGTTGACTGACACCGCGTAACCGCCGCCCGCGTAAAACGGTCCCTGTCCCACGGAAAACGCCTGTTTCTGTGTGTATTTCGCCGTTGCGCCCGCGCCTTTCACGCGGCGTGTCCCTGCGGGGCCGCCGTAGCGCGCCCGCGCTTCCCCCACCCGGGYGCTGCGTTGCTGGGCAACGCGGCAGCCACGCCCCTTCCGGCCTCACCGGGGCGCGGAGCTGAGGCGGCTTCCGGCCGCCGCGGAGCTCGACCGGGCGCCGCTCCGGTGCGGGCGTCGCCTCCTGGTTCCGGGTTCCCGGGCGTCGGTTCCGGGTCCCGGCCCGGCGGCCGCTCCCGACCCAGGCTCCGCTCCCGGTGTCCCGGCCGCTCCCGGTGTCCCGGCCGCTCCCGGTGTCCCGGCCGCTCCCGGTGTCCCGGCCGCTCCCGGTGTCCCGGCGGCGCCATGCCGCGCTCCCCGCGCCGCCACGTCTCGGTGTTCCCCTCGCCGCAGGAGCTGGGCTCGGCCCTGGCGCAGCTCGTGGCGCAGCGCGCGGCCGCCGCCACCGCCGCCGCTACCGGCCGCTTCTCGCTGGGGCTCTCGGGCGGCAGCCTCGTGCGGATCCTGTCCCGGGAGCTGCCGGCCGCCGCCGCCGCCGCCGCGCCCGCCCGCTGGCTCGTGGCCTTCTGCGACGAGCGCCTCGTGCCCGCCGCGCACCCCGAGAGCACGAGCGGCGCCTACCGGGTGAGCGGCGCCGCGGGCCCCGGTTCCGGTCCCGGCCCCTGTCCCGGCTCCGTCCCCGGCCCCATCCCCGGTCCCGACCCTGGTTCTGGTCTGGGCTCCATCCTCGGCCCCGGTTCTATCCCCAGCCCCGCTCCCGGCTCCATCCCCGGCTCCATCCCCAGCCCTGGTCCCGGCTCCGGTCCCGGTTCTGGTCCCGACCCCATCCCTGCCCCGATCCCGATCCCGGCCCCGGTCCTGGCCCCATCCCCGGCCCTGGTCCCAGCCCCTGTCCCGGCTCCATCCCCGGCCCCTGTCCGGGCTCCGGTCCCGGTCCTGGCCCCATCCCCGGCCCTGGTCCCAGCCCCTGTCCCGGCTCCGTCCCCGGTCTCAGTTCCAGTTCCATTCCCGGCCCCAGTCCCGGTCCCGGTTCTGGTCCCAGCTCCATCCTCAGCCCCGGTTCTATCCCCGGCCCCGCTCCCGGCTCCATCCCCGGCCCTGGTCCCGGTCCTGGTCCCGGCTCCATCCCCGGTCCCGCTTCCGACCCTGGTCCCGGTTCTGGTCCTGGTCCCGGCCCCTGTCCCAGCTCCATCCCCGGTCTCGGTCCCGGCTCCATCCCCGGTCCCGGTCCGCGCGGCCGCTCACGGCGCCTCCCCGCAGGCGGAGCTGCTGCCGCGGCTGCCGCTGCCCGAGAGCGGCCTGCTCTGCGCTGACACCGGCCTCCCCGCGCCCGCCGCCGCCGCCGCCTACGCCGCCAAGCTCCGACAGGTACCGGGGGCGGCTCCGGGGGGTTCTGAGCGGTACCGGGGGGAGGGTGCTGTCCCGGGGGTCCCTGCTGCTCCCGGTGCCGCCTGTCGCCCGGCCCGCCAGGTGCTCCCAGGGGCACCCCGTGTCCCGGCCGCGATTCCCAGTGATTCCCGGCCACAGAGCAGCGTCCTGCGCTCCCCTCTTCCCACCCCTTCCCTCTCGTTCCATCCTTCCCTTCCCACCCCTTCGCTTCCCTCTTATTCTATCCTTCCTTTTCCACCCCTTCCCGCTCATTCCCTTCCATCTTGTTCCATCCTTCTTTTTCCACCCCTTCCCACTCATTCCCTTCCATCTTGTTCCATCCTTCTTTTTCCACCCCTTCCCGCTCATTCCCTTCCATCTTATTCCATCCTTCCCCTCCCACCCCTTCCCTTCCCGCTCGTTCCATCCTTCTCTTCCCACCCCTTCGCTTCCCTCTTATTCTATCCTTCCTTTTCCACCCCTTCCCTTCCCGCTCATTCCCTTCCATCTTATTCCATCCTTCCCTTCCCACCCCTCCGCTTCCCGCTAATTCCATCCATCCATCCATCCTCCGCTTCCCGCTCGTTCCATCCATCCTCCGCTTCCCGCCCATTCCCTTCCCGCTCGTTCTTTTCTCGCTCCCTTCCCTGGCAACGCTCCATGTGCCAGCGCCACAAGAGCTTCTAACCCGCCAGTATTTACTCGGTTTCCTTCCCTTTTCCCAGGCTTTTCCGGACGAGCCCGTCCCCGTGTTCGACCTGCTCATCCTGGGCGTGGGGCCGGACGGTCACACCTGCTCCCTCTTCCCCGACCACCCGCTCTTGCAGGTGAGCCCGGAGCCGAGGGGTTTTCGCATGAATCTGGCTGCGCTCCTGATTCCAAGTGATCATGTGAACATTCCCACTGCTTTTTTGAGGAGCAGCTCCCAAATTGCCTTCAAAAACCCGCCAGTCTGACCTTGAGCTCCAAAGGGATCTCATTTTAGCCAGAGATGGCAAAAAAAAAATTAGGAATCTGCTGCTAGATCGTCCTCAAAACCAGTCTTTGCCTTATTTACTGCTTAGGAAATGTATTTGCTTATTTGCTGCTTGGAAAGCGCCGTCTCGGCCTCGAGAGCTGCTCTTGCTTTGATTTTTCTTTTCCACCTTCCTTTTTTTTCCCTTGACCTGGCAGGAGAAAGAGAAAATTGTGGCTGCTATTACCGATTCTCCGAAGCCACCACCGGAACGGATCACCTTAACCCTGCCGGTGCTCAACGCGGCGCGGGCTGTGGTGTTCGTCGCGACGGGCGAGGGCAAAGCCGCCGTTTTAAAGGTAGGGAGCGCTGGGAACGAAGCGAACTCTTATTTTAACGAACATCCAGATAGTGGGTAAATATTTCCGAGGAAAACTCGTTGGCTGACTTGTCTGGAGAGCCAGGATGGACAGTTAAACGTGACATTTAATTGGTTTTCACGGGGGTAGGGGTAAAAAGCAGCGGCGTTTTAGCCGAATTGAGGCTTTCGTGAGCCGTGGCGCCGGGCTGGAGGTCGGTGCGGCGGGTCGCGGCGGCTGAAGCGCYGCTCGCTTTCTCCACCCAGCGCATTTTGGAGGGCGACGAGGAGAAGGCCCTGCCCGCTGCCCTCGTTCAGCCCCACAGCGGGCAGCTCTACTGGTTCCTGGATGAGCCGGCAGCCAAGGACCTGACCGGCCCCTTTGAGAAACACTCCATCTTATAGCACCCCACATTCGGCCCGATTCCGCGGTAGGAACCGGGCACGGGACCAGTTGGGTGGCATTCCAGAGCCAGGACTCCACGGTTGGTTGTAGCACTTGGGGGTGGCCCAAAAAGCACATTCCCCTTTCCTGCTTTTTAACCTTTCTTTCTTTTCTTTGAGCAAACGGTACTTTGCGGAGCGCTGTGTAACGATGGCGCTGCGGGAACGCTTGGAGGTGCCCACGGTGCCGGTGTCACCCGGGCTCTTTGTGAGCGCTCGCTGTGGTGGCGGGCATTAAACAGCATTAAAGATCCCCGTGACGCTTATCCCGCTCCCGTTTGCTTCTTCACCTGCYCACAATGGTGGGAAAAGCAGCCAAAACTTGAGGAATGAGGTGTGGGATTTGGGATGGCCTCAACTGCCGCTGCCTGTCAGCTCGCCGTCAGGCGGATGGCAACACCCGGAGCATCCCCGGCTGCACGGTGGTCTTTTTTTTTCCCGTTCTSCGATGATTCGTCTTCCCTATAAGCTGGAATTTACCTGCCCTTTGTGTACGGGTGCAATTCAGCAGCAGTGGCTCTTCCTGGGTTTTATTTTTAATACGTGGAGGGTCTGTTTTTTAGTTTCATTTAGAGATCTTTGGTTATACAGTTCACAAATCTAGACTGTGGAGAGATTATCACTTAGGAAATATATATATGTGCATAAACATAAATATATATATGTGCATAAACATAAATATATATATGTGCATAAACATAAATATATATATGTGCATAAACATAAATATATATATGTGCATAAACATAAATATATATATGTGCATAAACATAAATATATATATGTGCATAAACATAAATATATATATGTGCATAAACATAAATATATATATGTGCATAAACATAAATATATATATGTGCATAAACATAAATATATATATGTGCATAAACATATATATGTCTATAAACATAAATATACACATGTGTGTATAATATATATATATATGAAACCAGATTCAATTTGGGGATACCTCCCGCTTGCTGCATAAKTCACTCACCGCTTGTAGCTCTGCGGACTTGATTGCCTAATAGTGGAAAAGAGTGTTTTATTGGTTGCAAATTGACTCATCTTCAAGGGAAAAATGAGCTTGGAGTTTAAACTACTACGGCGACTGACGGTAGGAGTGTTTTATGTGCCCCTCTATAGCTGGAGAGAGGAGCTGTAAGTGTGAGCTCCGCCTAAAGCTTTTAAAACCAAGAGCAAGGCGGCGGTGCCTTCGATTGCACGATCATAAGGGGATCGATCATTTAGGGGCTGATGGTAAGGGAGAGGAGCAAGGAGGAAGGACGAGGCCTTGGCAAAGGGCAGGAGGCTGCGCTCCRTGGGAAACACGATGCCCGGGCTGCTTCCCGCAGCTCGTGCTGGCGCAGGGAGAGGAAAACGCCGCCGCTGCCAGGCCCGTCCCGCGGCCGCAGCTGCTCCTGGCCTCGCTCCGCAGGGATTCCCGTGYTCCTGCAGCCCGGCCTCTTTCCAGATGGCGCCGGCGGCCGCTGCCAGAACCCGAGCGCTGGAGGAGCCGCTCGGGGCCCTTCCGTCTCTCCCTGCGGCCGACGCGAAGGAAAAGCCAAGGATGTTTTCCAGGCGTGATGTCACGGCCGGCTGCGCGTTTGGCGCTTCCTCCTCGGACAGAAGGGCTCTTGTGCCGCGGACGGAGCCGGAGCGGGGGCCGCAGCCTCCCAGCACGTCGMTCCCTGTCCTCTGTTCAAATAGCACTAATAARCCCCCTTMATTCCATTAATTGTGGGGTGGGARGAGGAGAGGGGAGCYAYGACCGGCTCCTYCAAGCACACGGATCCCCGTCCTCTGTTCAATTGCATTAATAACCCCCTTAATTGCATTAAAACACATAGCGGGAGGAGGAGAGGGGAGCCACGACCGGCTCCTCCAAGCACACGGCTCCCCATCCTGTTTTATTGCGTTAATAACCCCCTTAATTGCATTAAAACAGCCGGAGGAGGAGGGGGAGCGGTGCTTTAAGGGCCTTGCTTCCCACGAGAAGGCTCCAACCAGACCCGGCTCCAACTCCCAGCGGGGCTTRGGACCGACCGTGGGTTTAGCGGCAGGGACGGAGCGGGAGGGCGGAAGGGGGGCCCGTTTCCACGGCTCCCGCAGCGCCGCTCGCCCCCCACTTTCCCGCTGGATCCAGCTGAATCCCACTGGATCCCGTTGGATCCCCCTGGATCCCGGCTCCTTCCCGCCCCGGGAGCGGCCTCCGCGGGGCCGGAGCCGCCGGGGCCGAGTCCCGGGGGGAGGCGGGGGGGCAGCCTCGTCCCGCCCCGCGGCGGCGGGAGGCGGGAGCGGCGGCTCCCGACGGGAAGGGGCGGCGCGGGACCGGGAGCGGGGCCGGGGATGGCGGCGCCGGGGCGGCTGCTGCTGCCGCTGGCGCTGCTGGCGGCCGCGGCCCGCGGCTACTTCCCCGAGGAGCGCTGGAGCCCCGAGTCGGCGCTGCGGGCGCCGCGCGTGGCGCTCGCGCTGCTGGCCCGCAACGCGCAGCACTCGCTGCCCGCCGCGCTGGGCGCGCTCGAGCGCCTGCGGCACCCCAAGGAGCGCACGGCGCTCTGGTGGGCGGGCGCTTCGGGGGCGCCGGCGGTTCGGGGTCGGTCCGGGGGCGCTGGGGCGGTTCGGGGTCGGTCCGGGGGCACTGGGGCGGTTCGGGACGGTTCGGGGGCGCTGGGCCGGTTCGGGGCGGTTCGGGGGCACTGGGCGGTTCGGGCCGGTTCGGGGGCGCTGGGCCGGTTCGGTGGGGCGCTTCGGGAGCTCCGGAGCGGTTCGGGGCCGCCGGGCGGTTCGGGGTCGGTCCGGGGCGCTTCGGGGGCGCCGGCGGTTCGGGGTCGGTCCGGGGGCGCTGGGGCGGTTCGGGCCGGTTCGGGGGCGCTGGGCCGGTTCGGGGGCGCTGGGCCGGTTCGGGGGCGCTGGGCCGGTTCGGTGGGGCGCTTCGGGAGCTCCGGAGCGGTTCGGGGCCGCCGGGCGGTTCGGGGTCGGTCCGGGGCGCTTCGGGGGCGCCGGCGGTTCGGGGTCGGTCCGGGGGCACTGGGGCGGTTCGGGACGGTTCGGGGGCGCTGGGCCGGTTCGGGGGCGCTGGGGCGGTTCGGGGGCACTGGGGCGGTTCGGGACGGTTCGGGGGCGCTGGGCCGGTTCGGGACGGTTCGGGGGCGCTGGGCCGGTTCGGGGCGGTTCGGGGGCGCTGGGGCGGTTCGGGCCGGTTCGGGGGCGCTGGGCCGGTTCGGGGGCGCTGGGCCGGTTCGGGGGCGCTGGGCCGGTTCGGTGGGGCGCTTCGGGAGCTCCGGAGCGGTTCGGGGCCGCCGGGCGGTTCGGGGTCGGTCCGGGGCGCTTCGGGGGCGCCGGCGGTTCGGGGTCGGTCCGGGGGCGCTGGGGCGGTTCGGGGTCGGTCCGGGGGCACTGGGGCGGTTCGGGACGGTTCGGGGGCGCTGGGCCGGTTCGGTGGGGCGCCTCGGGAGCTCCGGAGCGGTTCGGGGCCGCCGGGCGGTTCGGGACGGTGCGGGCACTTCGGGGGGCGTTCGGGACGGGTCGGGGGCGCCGGGGACGCCTGGCGGTTCGGGACGGGCGGCGGGCGGGCCGAGCCGGGGCGATCCGGGACGGTGGAGGGGCGCCAGACGGGCCAGGCGGTTCGGGGGCGGCTGGAGCGGGACAGCGGTGGGGGGAACTGGGCCGGGCCGGCTGGGGAACGGCGGCGGCTGGAGGGGAACGGGGGGCGCCGGGCCGGTTCGGGGCCGGGCCGGGAGCGGCTGGAGCGGCCCCGCGGTGCGGGGGCGGCGGCTGGCGGGGTCCGGGGCGCCGGGGCCGGCTCGGTGCGAGCGGGCTCGGTTCGGCGCAGGGTGGCCACGGACCACAACGCGGACAACACGACGGCCGTGCTGCGCGAGTGGCTGACGCGCGTGCAGGGCCTCTACCACCGCGTGGAGTGGCGGCCGCAGCTCGAGCCCCGGTGAGCGGCAGCGGGGCGAGCGGGGCCGCCGGGTCCCGGGGCCGCCGGATCCCGGCATCCGCGTCCCGGGGCCTCCGTGTCCCGGCCGGGTCCCGGGGCCACCGTGTCCCGGGAACTGCGTTCTGGCCGCGTGCCGGGTCCCGGGGCCGCCGCGTCCCGGCCGTGTCCCGTGTCCCGGTGCCGCCGGGTCCCGGGGCCGGGGCTGACGCGGCGCCCCGCAGGGCCTACCCGGGCGAGGAGGGCCCCAAGCACTGGCCGAGCGCGCGCTACGAGCACCTCATGCGGCTGCGGCAGGCAGCGCTCGAGGCCGCGCGTGACATGTGGGCCGACTACCTGCTGGTGAGACCGGGAGCGGCGGGAGCACCGGGCGGGAGCACCGGGCGGGAGCGGCGGGCGGGACGGGACGGGGCGGGAAGGACCCCCGGGAGCGGCGGGGAAGGCGGTTGTGCGGGCGCAGTGGGAAGGAGACCCGGGAAAAGGGTGGGAAAAGGAACGGGAAAGCGCCCGCTCCTGAGGAACGGGTGGGAAAAGGGGCGGGAAAATCCCCGCCTCTGAGGTACGGGGCGGGGGGAAAAAGGGGTGGAAAAATACCTGCCCTCGAGGAAAGGGTGGGAAAACGGGTGGAAAACGCCCGCTCCTGAGGGATGGGTGGAGAAATGAGGGGAAAAGCGCCCGCTGCTGAGGGAATGAGACGGGGGTGGGGGGCAAAAACATACCCGCTTTTGAGGTGAGGGTGGAAAAACGAGTGGAAAAATGCCCGCTTTTGAGGTGAGGGTGGAAAAACGAGTGGAAAAAT